TCCTGCTGATTTTCTCTAGCTTCTGTCTTTTGCTCAAGCGTGTGTTTTTTTCGAGAAGTGTGTGTATGCCTCTGTGGAACGCACGATAGATGTTGGGGAGGCCCTGGTCCAGCTTCAGAAACCGACTGGCTTAATTCCGTGTCTACAGCGAGTTCTGGAAGCCTCCTTTCCTTGAGTGACAGTGTGGACACGCCCATGGCGATATCCGGCATCAGATCATTTAGCACAGGTTGTGTACACTGCAGAGACGAGAAGTGGGGGAAGTTAAAAAAAACTTCTGAATTCTTCACAAAAATGATGTTCACTGTTTCCTTATTATAAAAAGAATACAAGCTTACTTTTAAGAATTTTAAAAATACAGAGAACCAGCAGTTAGCGTAATGGCTATGTCGCTGGACTCCCACGTAGTTGACCGCGGTTCGTGTCCCAGACCCGGTGGCTTAAAACTCACGCCGGGCACGTGTGTGTGCATGCCCAAGATCCCGAGAGGAGAATGGAGGAGAAGGGATTGCGGCGTGACCCCCCCCCGGGGGTCGATTTCTCACTTTCTGTCTCTATGTCTCTCTCTGTCTGTCTGGTGAGCGCATGCGCCCTATAGCAAAAAAAACCTCCCCAAACATTAACAACTTCCCCCAACTGCCCCTACATAGATAACCACTGTTAGCACTTTAAGTTATTTCTCTGTTTCTTCTTTACATATATATTTATTTTCCCAAAATTCAGTACATATATAATTTCTGCCACCAAATTTCCTTGAGCTCATTATTTAAAATTATTAAACAGCGGAGCCAGCAGGCGGCATGGTGGTTTAGGAGCTGGACTCCCATGTGGTTGACCAAGGTTTGGGACCTGGGCCTGGAGGCTTGCTTTCTCACTTTGCCTATCTTTCTCTCTGATGAGCCCTACAGCAAATTAAAAATAAATAAATAAAATTAAATAATCCTAAAAAAAATTAAATTACTAATAGCACTCTACTGTACTGACAAATCATGGCTTGTCATTCTTCTACTGGACACTGAGGTTGTTTCCAAGTTTTCATTATCACAATCAAGATTGCTATGAACATAAAAATAAATTACTTTTTAAAAAAATGATTATTTATTCTTTAAATTCCATTTGTTACTATCATTTTTTAACTTGACCAGAGACAGACACAGAGAGAGAAAGTGAGAAAGCAAGTCCCCAGGTCTGGGACTCGAACCACAGCAGCCATGTGCGAATCCAGTGCCTTTAACCACCACGCCACCTGCAGGCCCCACAAATAAATTACTTTACAGGGAAGTTTACTTAAAATGCAAAATGGTTTTACAGAAAAGGGCAGGACAACAGATTGATGGAAATTCGCCTTAGCAAACACAACCAACTTCTGTTATTTTGCAGGGGTTAAGAGTGGCAGGGAGAGTAGTAGGTAGAGGGTCTAAGAAGGTCATGAATGAGCCTAATTTTTTTTTTTTTGAGAGATTTTTGATATATGGTGTGTGTGCTCGCTGGAGAGACAAAGACAGAAAACAAGAAATCACCCTCCAGTGGGGCAGCCACATTGCAATCCCTTCTCCTACATTCTCCTCTAAGGATTTTGGGCACACATGCACACATGCCCAGTGCGAGTTTCAAGTCGCTGGGTCTAGGACCCGAACCATAGTCGACTATGTGGGAGTCCAGTGACGTAACCATTATGAGTCTAATTAGACCCAGGGTGTATGTCTTTAGCTTCCAATAAGTCATACTTTTTATTTTTTTAAAATTTGCTAGTGTCTGCATGAGTGTACTATAGGGAGACATACAGACAGAGAGAGAGACAGCAGTCCCCACGGAGTACGGTCACACCATAATCCCCTTTCCTCCATTTCTCCTTTTGAGATTTTGGGCACTCATGCATATGCGCCTGACCTGTGTTTCAAGCTGCCAGATCTGGAACTCAAACAGCACAGTAGACCTTTTGAATCCACCTCCCCCCCCAATAAACCATACTTTAATGACATGTTCCTAAACCAACAGATATACTTCCTATTTTTTCTCTGTTGGATGCTATTAACAGCATGTGCATGTTTACCACTACTGTCTTTTTCAAATGTATCACATAAACGGAAGTTCAACCTGGAATGCAGTGCAAAGTCAAGCAGAGTCCTCTCAGCTTACTACACACTGGTCTCAGCTATATGATTTCAATCACACAAGCACTGCTAAACGAGCTTGCCATAGGCAGAGGCGTACAGGAGGACTGGTTTAATGTCCATTTTCTGAGTGGGAAGGCTTTTTCCACACTGATCTTTTGCACCCCCAACATAATCTTGATGCTGAAATCCACCTCCAGCTTAAGCCTACCCCAGGTCACAGGTAAATGCATACCCGTATGAGGGAGGTCTCCGGTTGTGAACTTGGAACCTTCCCACGTGGGTCAGCTCTAGGTAGTGCTGTGTTTTTACCTCTGTGCCACCATCCAGCCCCATCAGCACATGCTATACTTAGCTGTAAGGAACCCCCTTCTTGTGCCACCAAAACATTGGTAGGACAGTAGATTCTATAGAATACAACAGAACTTAGGGACAGATGCCAGAAGAGTACTTTAATAGAACACTTTGAAACTGTTATCACAGCAGTCCTACTGCTTCCTCTTGATAGCAAGTGAACAAGCGACAAGGAGGGGGCGGGTGGTGGTGCAGTGGTATGCTACCAGACCCACATGCGAATGGTCCTGGGCCCTCCCTGAGCACGTGGGCTGTGTGTACACGTGCCCATGGTTCTGGCCATCTGAGACTGGTGGAGAATTGTGGTGTAAGGCTGGACTGGGGATGCTAGTCTCTCTGTATGTCTGTCATAGAAAAAATACATAAATAAACTTGAAAAAAAAAAAAACCAACAACTTTCCTTCCTTAGAAAAAAAACCCTACTCTCTCATCCTATTTTTTCTCATTCATCTATGCTGTTTTTTTCTCTTTCCACATTCCTCAAGTTCTTGCTTTCAACTTGTCACTAACACTTTTCAGCACTGCTGAGTCCCATTGGGGCTCTTAGGAATTGCTTCTTTTTTGTTTTGTTTTGTTTTGTTATAGGGCACGTGTGCTCACCAGACAGACAGAGAGAGACAGAGAGATAGAAAGTGAGAAATCACCCCCCTCCCCAGGGGGGATGGCCAAGCCGCAATCCCTTCTCCTCCATTCTCCTCTCAGGATCTTGGGCACGCACGCACATGTGTCCGACATGAGTTTAAGCCGCTGGGTCCGGGACTTGAACCGTGGTCGACTACGTGGGAGTCCCGCGACATAGCCATTATGCTAACTGCTTAACATCCCCAAACTTTCAGTTTCAGGCAGTTTGCTTTAGTACTGACTTACCACTTGTTTCTCCGATGCTATTGCTGCCGAGGCAGCCGCTGCCGCCGCCGCCGCCGCTGCTACCGTCTGTCTCCCTAGTCCTGTGGAGTTGGTACAATCGGGGGGTGCCGCTTTAACACCTGGCAAATAGACTGGGGGAGGGCCAGCCTTAGGAGCTGTTCTGGAGTGAAACAGCGAATGGTTACAAGGGTAAGAAAATGAACGTGAAGGGTGCTGACTGGGAGGTCTCTGTTTCCAGCCTGCTTTCAGTTGGTTATGGATCGGGGTAGCTGGGGGATGATATGGAGGCGGTGGAGGCGGCAGGGGTGGATGGAAGGCCACGAAAGAGTCCAGGTCTGTAAACATGGTTTCTGCGGTAGGGGTACTGTTGACACGGCATCTCCCGGGCTGTCTCATTGTCAAGAGTGGGCTTTCATCCCCAAAACGTTCATCAGGGAAGAACTTGTGAGGATTCTAAGATAAAAAAAAAGGGGGAGGACATTTATTAGCAGACTTCACAGATGGAAATTTACAGGCTGAGAGAATTAAGTGAAGTGCTGAAGGAAACCACATTCATCAGAGTAAAAGGCACAGTATATTTTTCTCAATCAAAAGCCCAATAAAAAAAATTACCTTAATAACAGCACAGATAGAGCACAGCCTATGGAGCCCAAGACACAACTCTCGAGAGCTGCCCAGTCAGGTCCTCCATCTAGCAGGTCAGTCTGCCCTTGCAAGGCCATGTGGCCATGCAAACACAGGTGATCAATCCTAATTCAAATACATGTCTTTGCTAAGAAAATAAGATTACTATTAAACACCAGTGGAAGAAAAGGCAGACAGTTGAGCATCTTCCTAGAAATTTTCTGATAGAACCTCTATACATGGGCCATCTGAAAGAATTAGAAAATGATTTTATTTTTCTTTTTGTTGTTTTTCATTAAACCTAGCAGGTTAAAAACCCAAAACTCATATCTTTACCATTATACACAATTAAAGTTTAATATGTCAATAAACATTACACTGGAATACTTACTTTCATACAATTTATCAAATTAGGATATAATTAAGAATGGCAAAGAGCCTTAACTAAAACTAATTTCATCTGGGGGCCAGCAGGTGGCATGGTGGTTAAGTGTACAGGATTTCCTCATGAGACGTGGTTCAAGTCCTGGACCTAGTGGCTTAACTTTCTCACTTTCCCTCTCTCTGTGTCTGTCTCTGTTTCTCTCTGGTCAAATTACAATAATAACAATGATGATGAATAAAATTAAAAATAATTCTTTAAAAAATTTTAATTTCATCTGATCAACTGATTCATACATTGTTTTGCCACTGATTTTAGTGCTAGAAGCCTAAAAATGGCCTATTGCTTTACAAAAGAACACCATTATCAAGTTTAGCTTTTTTTTTAATTGCCAGAGGGTGCAAGTGCTCACCAGAGAGAAACAGAACTCCCAATGGTCATGCTGCAACCCCACCCTCCATTTCTGCATGCCGTCAGGATTCTTGGCTAGCAAGCACATGTGCCCTGAGTGTTTCTCAACCGTGAGGCCATGTGGGATGCAGCTCCCTACGCATGGCATTAACTGCGGCATTATAGGGCCAGTCCCATGTTTAGTGCTTCAGAGGCTAAAGGCTAAAGGAGCTGGAAATCAGTGGCAAAACAATGCATGAATCAGTTGATCAGATGAAATTAAAAATTTTTAAAGAATTATTTTATTTTTAATTTTATTCATCATCATTGCTATTATTGTAATTTGACCAGAGAGAAACAGAGACACAGAGAGAGGGAAAGTGAGAAAGTTAAGCCACTAGGTCCAGGACTTGAACCATGGTCTCATGAGGAAATCCTGTACACTTAACCACCATGCCACCTGCTGGCCCCCAGATGAAATTAGTTTTAGTTAAGGCTCTAATTTAGTGGCTGTGATCAGACTACTTTACAATTCGAACTTAATGGCAAAACCTAGGTGATTGCTTCTGTACCAAATAATTACTAGATATGAGTTTTGGGTTTTTAACCTGCTAGGTTTAATAAAAAAAAAAACAACAAAAAGAAAAAAAAAACCCTCATTTCCAATTCTGATGCTTGGATTTGAACTCTCCTGCAAAAAAAATTTCTTTTAAGAGAGAGAGCAGAGGGGAGCAGGGAGCATTTGGAAGAACGATAGCAGCTACAGGCCAGGCTGAAACCTATGAGCAAACCAGGGAGGGGGCGGGGCAGGTCCAGGGTTTCCTCCATCCTGTGCTATCTCTGTGGGCACACACACGGGTCTGTCAGCAGCCACCATGTGAGAGCTTGCTATGTACCAAGTACCTCCTATCTTCACAACAGTGCACTTACTGGTAAGCAAACTGAGACTCAGAGGGGATAAGTAACTCATCCCAAGTAAACCAGTTCGTAAGCGGCAGAGCCAGGATCTAAGCCCTGTTCTCACTCAGTCCACTCTACCACACTGTCGCTTACCAGGAGGGACTTGCGGATTACCAAAGACACCAGAGGCAAGGAAGGAGCTCGTGCAAAGTAAAAGAAGTGTGCTGAGGCCTTCTAAAATACTGCCTGACTGATAATCAAGCTTCCATTTTATACCAGTTTATGTCTTTCTTCCAGGGGTGGGGGGTGCCCACACCATGATCCATCTGCTGCCCAAGCCAGCCCTGATCACGGGCACATGTACACCGGGCATGTTTAGGAAGTCTCCAACGCACTCTTCCCATGTGGGTCAGTCTCGAGAGCACTATGTTAGCGTTGCGTCCCCACCTAGCCCCCTCGGCTCCCTGTTAAGTAGCTGAAGGCCTTTTCTTACCTGCAAGAGCTCTGCAGCAGCGTCCGCAAGACCAAACTCTCTCAGAACGCGTATCTGGATTTCGTAGCTGACCGTGGCACCTTCCCCACAGTTCAGTGCGTAGGCCCTCTGCACCTGCTCCGTGTGTCGCAGCTCCTGTAGTCGCCTGACCATGTCCTTCATCATGAGGAGACGGGGAACTGGAACTTGGGGACAGCAGATAATCCCCTTCCCGGTTTGTGCTTAGGTGGGGACTCCTGAGCTGCACAAGCCCACCCATGGAGCACAAGAGACAAGTAGGTGCTTGTATCAGAACCTTCTTACAGATTTCTTTAGACGGTGTTTTCATTTCCTGCTAACATGTTAACCCCTAATTATTTTTCAAGGTTTTAAAAAGTCACTGTGCCCAAAAGGTTCTCGATCATACCAAATAGTTCCTGAGCTCTATTACTTTAGTTTACAGCTTAAATAAAACTTTATTTGTATAATACATATTTTCTTGTGAATCTCAGGACTTCATAAGTCTTTTAAATAAACTCAGTCTTTTCTTCAAATAATTTGAGCCTTGACTATGCACCAGGGATTGAACTCAAGTATTAGGTTCACAGAAACACAAGTCCTCAGAAGGGACTGGCTTTCGTGATGTGACTAAGTAAACAAGTCCAGTACTGGGTCCTAAGTGCTCAAGAGAAATATGCAAAGGGTGCTGGAGGAAGGGGCACCCAGCCCAGACTGGGGCAGGCAGGCAGGGTTTCCTAGACAAGGTGGACCCACGCAGAGTCCTGAAGAATGAGAGAAAAATCAGGCAGGTAAATAAAGTGGGATACAGGCTTTTTGAATAGAAGAAAAATATGCAGAGGAACGATAGAATGGCTGAGTATCTGGTGTGGCCAGGAGCCACAGGGGTCAAAGGCATAAACAGGAAGAGGAGAGAGAGAACTGAGGCCAGAAAGATAGGGAGGAGCAGATTATGGATAAGGATTTTTTTTTAAAAAAAAGATTTTTGCCAGAAGGCACAAATAACTTGTGGGGGGTAGGGAAGCATGGAGAGACAGACAGACTCGTCCCTTGTTCCGTGGGGAATGGCTATGCTGTAATCTCTTCTCTTCCATTTCTCCCTCCTTTCAGGATGTTGGATACATACTCATGTGCCTGTGGCTGGCAAGTGTTTTTCAAACCGCTGGATCTTAGACTCGAACTGCAGTTGGCCATATGGGATCCAGCGGCCTTAACCACCATGTCACAGGTTGTCCTGAATAAGGAATTTAAACTGTATCCCATGTAGAGGCAGTCATTTGTGCAGGGGGATGCCGGGACCTGACCCACAACTTAGTAAGTGTGCTCTAAGACTAGTGGGAAGGCAAACTGCAGCCCACAGACTAATTCGAGCCTACTGCCTTTTTAAATTTTTTTGAGAGGTTTTTGTTATAGGGCCCATTTGTTATTATTATTATTTAATTTTGACCAGACATAGACAGAGAGAGAGAGAAAGGGAAAGTAAGAAAGCAAGTTGCCAGGTCTGAGACACGAACCGTGGTCGGCCATGTGGGAGTTCAGTGGTTTAATCCAACATGTCACCTGTCAGCCCCAACTATTATATATATATATTTGATTTATTTGTCAGCCCCAACTATTATATATATATATTTTAAAAGATTTATTTAAGTTTATTTATTTATTCATTTTTATTTTGACCAGAGAGAGACACACACAAAGAGAGAGAGAAAGTGAGAAAGCAAATCACCAGGTCCAGGACTTGTTGGCCATGTGGGAGTGTCCAGCGTCTTAACCATTATGCCACCTGCTGGTCCTCCCCCAACTAAAATATTTTTTTTAGAAAAATATTTTATTTCTTCTTCTTTTTAAATTTTTTTATTTGACCAGAAGGAGACATAGAGAGAGAGCGAGAGAGTGAGAAAGCAAGTCGCCATGTCTGGGACTTGAACCTTGGTCAGCCAATTAAGAATCCAGTGCCTTAACCACCATGTTGGACCCTGAGAAATGCTATTTTCAACACTACAGTTTGCTGGATTTTCTTTTAAATCTTGCAATGGCAATCAGCAGTGGTATAGATTTCTGACTGTTGTATCACTGCTGTTTTTCTTACCTGAGAAATGATCACCAGAGTCTCCTAATTAAAGTCAAAGCATTAAGTACTGCTTAGATTCTTTTTAGATATTTTTACACCTCTCTACATGGTCAATTCTCTCAAAATTATAAGACATAAGACTGTGCTACAGTAAACATCACAGTGCCTATCTTCAGAAAATGGATCGTCAGGAAACAAGGTGATCATGCTTTGGGGGACATACATAGTTAAACCATCCTAAAAAGTCTTATAATGTGAGAAATACTCTATCGTGATGAAACATCAGAGTTCCTCTAAACTAGTGGTTCTCAATGGGGGGGATACTGTCCCACAGGGCACATTTGGCAATGTCTAGAAATAGAAAAACATCTCTAAAGTGGAAGAGCTGTGCTGATGAGTATGCACGCGCACACGTGCTGCCGGCCTCTAGCAGTACAAGCCGGGGATAATGCACTAGAGAGAATATTCCAGCCGTGGATGTCGATGGGGCTGCAGGTGAGAAACCCTAGGCTAAAGTGAAAAACTGTACATACCTACTAATTCAAAATCAAAATAAAATAAAAACCTTAGCTTGTAAGTATTTATTCTTTAAAAAGAATACATAAAAGGTATTGAAATGTGGGGATAATTAGTATATAAAAAGAAGTTCAAACACCAGTAACAGTATTTACCTAAACATAAACATCTCATAAATGGCTACTGCCTTACCTGGAATTTCATTGGCAACAACAGAGGGTGGGCTGGACTGGTTACTGCTGATCTGCTGGTGGCTGATCATGTGACAGCACTGAGGCACAGCGTTATTGACCATGTAAAGCGTGTCTGGCACATTGGACATTCTAACCATTCGCAAACGCACAAGATCTGTTTGTTCCACCATCATCTCGTCTAGCACTGACTGAAATAATAATTCGGTATTAACAGATCAGTCAATCCTTTATCTGTGTTAAATCACATTTTTTATGAAGTTTAAAAATAGTGGTGACAGGAGAGAGTATTTAATTTTTAAAGACTCTGGAGATGAAATAATCTTCTGAAAAAAGTGCTTTTAATTAAAGTATTGAAAGTTGAAGGGAGAATATATAACCAGAAATAAATTATACACAAAATTACTATAAAGAAAAGTGTGTCCATGTACTAAATATCAGATCTAACAGAAAAGGTTCTAACACATAATAATATGAAAGACTGATGTTAAATTTAAGAGACTTATAAATAAACCCAATTTTAAAAATTAGTTACAGATGAATCTCTCACCCAACTGCAGAACAGTTACAATGTGATAACATATCAACATTTTCCACATTTACTGAGGGCAAGTACTTCTTTAGCTGTGGGCACAGTCATCTGAGGGGCAGGAAAGTCCTGAGGCAGAGGAAATGGAGGGCAGGCTGTTTCTTTCTTTCTTTCTTTTTTTTTTTTAGAGAGAGGTTTTTGCCATAGGGCGCGTGCACTTGCCAGACAGAGAGAGACATAGAGACAGAAAGCGAGAAATCACCCCCCAGGGGGGATGGCCACACCGCAATCCCTTCTCCTGCATTCTCCTCTCGGGATTTTAGGCATGCACACACACGCACCAGGCATGAGTTTTAAGCCACGGGGTCTGGGATGTGAACCACGGTCGACTACATGGGAGTCCAGCGACATAGCCATTATGCTAACTGCTGGTCCGGGCAGGCTGTTTCTTACAGACTGCCTTTGGGAAGGTCTCAGATGCCTGAACAAGTTAAATCCTGCACGTAGTTCAGAAAAAACAGACCCAGTCATTCTGCGTTTCTTCCATTATTTTAGAACTATTAAAAATGTCAACTATTCACTATGAGCAAACTAGTCGATAAAACAGACTTGCCACAAATTCTTTCATGTCTTAAACTAGGAATTCTGGCAATAAAATTGAGAAAACATTTTAAGGCAAATTTACATTATACTGAAACACACTGTTTTGCCTGTTAAATTTCTTTCTTTCAGACACTGTCAGTTCCTCAAAAAGTCACCAAAATCTTATGGCTGAATATATCTAATAAAAATCTGTTTAATTTGCACACTGCGGTCTTTCCTTGGTTAGTTCTTCATGTTACATTACACACATGACCAATTTTTTTATACCATAGGCCTGAAATTCTTAGTTTTATTTTGTACTCTTATTCTAAAACCAAACACAACTCCCAACTTTCAGCTCTTACGAAAGTATGTTGCAAGAGATCTTGGCATTTTTTAGTTTATAAAGAAGATAAAATGTGTATAATCTTTCAGAAATTTCCCCATCCTCAAGACCACAAAATACTGATGAGTACTTCAGTGAAATGATAACAATCTGCAAAGCAACCAAGATGAAAAGAAATCTAAATGCATTTTAACATGACCTAAGTTTTAAAAGCATGCTTGATAACTGAACATTTCAGAAAACTATTCTGTTGCGTAGCTGAACTAGATTTACTTAAGTTTTCCCTATTACTAGACATTTGGGCTGTTTGCAAATGTTTAAATACTGCCACGATAAACATCTGTGTGCATATGGCTTGTAATCAAGTAACTTCGTTACCTTTGCTTCCTCCACGTAGGGAGAGAACAGTCGAGGACGGACATATATGCCAGCATTTTTTTGCCGCAGCCAGGCATTTGACTTCCCACCTTCAGCTATAGGCAGCATATCTGATGGAGGAGTACTAATCAAGCCTCTTTTCAGCTTAAAAAAAAAAAAATTTTTTTTTTAGATAAACTAGAGCTCTGTGTAGCACTATAATACTACTAAGATTAAAGTATTTATACCTATATATAGAAATGTACAAACTTGACCATTCTAAAAAAATTAGGAATATATGTGAAACTTACAAATATGTCAAATGTTGGGACCAGCAGATGGTGTAATGGCTACGTTGCTGGACTCCCATGTAGTTGACTGCGATTCAAGTCCTGGACTCGGTGGCTTAGACTCACGCCAGGCGCATGTGCATGTGTGCCCAAGATCCCAAGAGGAGAATGGAGAAGGAACTGCAGTGTGGCCATCCTCTTTGGGGGGTGATATCTCACTTTCTGTCTCTCTGGCGAGCGCATGTGCCCTATAGCAAAAAACTCTCCAAGAAAAAAAAAGAAAAAATGGAATACTTCAAATGTTTAATAATATTTAAAGAACCCAGCAATAACAAGGTAGTATAATTTCTCATTTTTCTCTAAAGAGAGGAATGATGTTCTTAAAAACAAGCAATTAAACTGTAGTAACTGGTCTACTTTTCAGAACAACTTGTAACTGGTTTCTCTTTCTTTATGCTTCCTTTATTTTTTTTAGAAACTTTTGCTACAAGGTGTGTGTGCTCACCAGAGAAAAAAAGTGAGAAATCATGATGTGAGGTACGGGGGATGGACAAGCCACAATCCCTTCTCTTTCATTCTCTTCTCAGGATTTTGGGCACACACATGTGCGCCCAACGTGAATTTTAAGCAGCGGGGTCTGGGACTTGAGCTCTTCGTGGGACCCCACCATTACGCCATCTGCTAGTCCCTTTCCTTACTCTTCTAAGAACTGATTCTATCCCTGTCTCTGCCAAGACAAAACAAGAACATCAACATGGTCCAGTATCTGGATACAAGGGGCAGGCAGTCTTGCATGGTACTTAGCACCAGGTCTCCAGGGAAAGGCCCTTGGCTCAAACCCTGAGTCTTCGTTGTTTAGCTAGTGACTGACCTTGGAGTTCCCCTTTTACCTGGGCTTTACTTTAAGACTCCAGCATGGCCCTGGAGGTGAGGCACTGCATGACTCACTGAATGTAGTGGCATCCTCATTATGCGAGGGCAGTTACAAGAAAAATGAAGGTCAGGGCAGGTAAATGAAGGTAAAAGGGTGTGGCCCAGCACTGAGTACATGCTGAGGGAACATGAGTCAGCCACTACAAGCAACCTTTATTGAACACTTACAGTGTGTTAGGCATGGAATTAAGAGCAGAGATATACATTTTTTAACCAAAAGTTCTAAAATACTTTTCTAAATATGGGGTTCAACTTTTATTTTTTTTTTTTTGAGAGGTTTTTGCTATATGGCATGTGTACTCGCCAGAAAGACAAGAGAGAGACAGAGAGACAGAAAGCGAGAACTCACCCCCCAGGGGGGATGGCCATGCCGCAACCCCTTCGCCATTCTCCTCTTGGGATCTTAGGCACACATGCACACGTGCCTGGCGTGAATTTAAGCCACCCGGTCTGGGACTTAAACCACCGTCGACAACATGGGAGTCCAGCGACATAGCCATTACACCAACTGCTGGACCCAAGTTAAACTTATTTTTTATTTAAAAATGTATGCAGGCCAACAGATGGCATGAAGATTAAGCCCTTCCACATGGTTATGGTTAAGGGTGGATTCCACATAGCTGACCTTTGCAGTTCAAGTCCCAGATCTAGTGCCTTGAAAATCATGCAGGCATGTGTGCACGAGTGCCCAAAGTCCCAAGAGAAGAAGGGATTGTGACATGGTCATCCCCCTCAGGGGTGATTTCTCATTCTCTCTCTCTCTCTCAAGCACACACACCCTATAGGAAAAAATGAAAAAAAAAAAAAAAGTATTTCAAAGATTACTAGTTTAGTAAGTAAAAAAAGGGATAATTTACTATTTTATTTTGCTTGCTTTGATGTGTAGACATGTTTTTGTAATCAGGGATTCCACAGATATTTTTCTTTTAGTTTTTCCATTTTAAATTCTTCGATCTAACAGGGATTAATGTTGTGTGTTATGAAGTGACAGTTTAACTTTAAACAAAATTCCTTCTCCCTTCCTCATCAGTTACTCTAGCACCACACTGAGCTGTGATAGCTCTTTTACTGTATGTTTAACTCTTATCAATTAGGACCATCTTCTGTGCTACTCTGTCTTGTCTGTTTTGTTAGCATCACAGATTTAAAGGTGTTTGAAAATACCTTTTACATTCCAGAAGAGTTATTTTTTTCTTCATTATGTACTTTTTAGAGAACTTAAACTATTACAACTTTGGTGTTTGTTTGTTTTTAAACCATAGGGAATGTGTGCCCACTGGAGAGATAGAAAGACGGAGAAGGAAAGTGAGAAATCCCCCTCCCCCCCAGAGTAGATGGCCATGCTGCAATCCCTTCTTGTCCATTCTCCACCCAGGATTTTGGGCACGCAACCCTACATGCCTGGCATGATTTTCAAGCCGTCAGATCCAAGAACTTGAACTGTAGTCAGCATGTGGGAATCCAGCACTTTAACCACCATGCCACCTGGTAGTCCCTATTATGTTGATAAGCATTACATTTATAAACCAACTTGTGAAGAACTAATATTTATTTATAATATTTATTCTCCCATCCATTAATTCTAGCAACTACTAGTTTAAAACAATTGACTTAATTTTTTTATTTTTAAAGATTTATTTAATTTTATTTATTCATTTGCTTATTTTAATTTGACCAGAGAGAGAGGGAAAGTGAGAAAACAAGCCACGAGGTCCAGAATCAGAACCATGGTTGGCCATTTGGGAGTGTCCAGTGCCTTAGCCACCAAGCCACCTGCTGGCCCCACAAATGACTTTAAAAACAATCTATGAACATACATGATCAGCTCCACTAGTTTGCACCTGGGTCGGAAGTATAATCAGAAGGTCTGTACCTCCTTTTACACTGAGCCCACCTTCCTCCTGCTCTCTGATTTATTGCTATTCTACCTTTTCCTTATGAATACAGATCTACTTGATCTATACTGATAAATGACTGAAGTAGCTTCCCCAGAAACTATGCTCTTGCAAAATTCAATCCTATTACCCCCCTCAACTCTCATCCAGCAAAATTTATTTATTCTTTAAGAGAGATTATGGACACAAGAGTCTCTCTCTGTCCTCACAGAGTTTACAGCTTCACAAAACTCTCTTAATAGTAGAAATTAGTTACAATAATAAGAAAAAGATGAGCCAGACTTTTTCCATGAAAGGATAAATGAAGAAAGACACTTACTGCGTCACTTAAGACCTCGCTGTGTATAGGTAAGATGTGTTCAATTCGCACGAAAGGTAGGAGAGGAGAAAGGATCTCTCTCAGCTCTTCCATGTCCAGGTCTCGTCTTTTCACACCTCTTTTATTCACACTATGGGCAGTACCACTCAGTAAGTTTGGCTCTATGAGAAAGAAAAGGAAAAGTCTTCAACCAAATCCCAGTTGTCAGAGACAGGCTTCCTTCCTCCTCTAGTACACACTCTCGGTACCATTCCACATGCGTCAGTACATCTGCTTTGAAAGGTGATACGGCAATTGTTTTTCTTTCATAGAAGTTTACTTAAAAGCAATGTTCTTGGACTATGAGAGCGCATGGTGCCAGCAGTACAATAGCATTCTTCCAATGGCCCTGCACTAAAGAATAAAGAGTCATTTTCCATATACTCACTCAAAGGAGAAGAGATGACAAAACAGTTTGATCGAGGGCTTTTTCTTAAGCTTTTACAGTTTTCGGTATGAGTGTAGGACACATGTTATTTCTGGCACTGCAGGTTATCATGTGCTCTTCAGGTTCTTTAAGTTTAACAGCAGTTTAAAAACATTTCTGACACTTGGTGTCCAAAGGCAGAAAAACCTAGTTTTAAGATTTTTATGAAATTGTCCTATGTTTTCATATATGGGAATGTTATTGCATAAAAGTGGACCTTCTGATCTTTGACATGTAATCTATGTCCGCTGCCCAGCAGAGGAGGTAAAGGCTGAGTGTCACAACGGTGTTCCGCTGTTCCGCTTTCAGCACTGGAGCCGAGTGCTAGGCCTGTGTACGGGCACCAGAGATGCTGAAGAGCCAGAGGGCTAGAGAAAGGGGATCATGGTGTGGTAGGATCCCGTCAAGGGTCCTCGCTCTCCCTCAGATGCGCACATACACATTAAAAATATATACACGCACACACACACACACATATGTATATATATACATCTTGAATAAACAATAAATAAAAACTTAAAGGACAACATATTTTTTATTCATGAACATAAATGCTACCTTTTCAGAAATATTCCATAGGCAAACTGATGTCTCCCTTAAGTCATATAAGAAATATACATAGAGATACTGTATTTTAAAAATTTTATTTATTATTATTATTTTTAAATGTGCTATAGGGCACATGCGATCACTAGAGCGAGAGAGAGAGGGGGGTAGAGAGAGAGAGAAGGAAGGTGAGAAAGTAAGCTGCCGGGTCTGGGACTCGAATTGTAGTTGGCCATATGGAGTCTAACACCTTAATCACCACATAACCTGCTGGCCCAAGAGATAATGTTTTTGAGAAGCTAAGCTTTATCTAGAGTCATTCAAATAAAGTTGTTGTGAACTGGTCCCACAGCACGGTGGGTAAATGCTGTGCAAGGAAGCTGGATTACACATGGCCAACCAGGGTTTCCGTCTTGGCCCCAGTGGCATGAAAAACACACGGTGCACATGTGCCCAGAATCCTAACAGGATAGAGAATGGGAAGAAAATGGATTGCAGTAAGACCGAATCTCACTGGGGGGGTGCTTTCTCCCTCCCTTTATCTCTCTCTTGGGCATGTGCAGTCTCTGGCATGAAATAAATTTAAAAAACTGCTGCAAGTGTGTGAAAATAGTTCTTTAAAAAAGAATTTTTTTTTACACACACAAAAACACGCACGGGGTCATTAGAAAAGATATGATGCATTTTTAAAAAAATAATTATTTTATTTAACTTTATTCGCTGTCATTATTTTATTATTATTATTATTATTATTGTATTGAAGTTGACCAGAGAGAGAGACAGAGCAAAAGAAGGAAAGTGCCAGGTCCAGAAGCAAGCTGCCAGGTCTAGGACTCAAACCTCGGTCAGCCATGTGGGAGTCTAGCCGGCCTTACCACCACACCATCTGCCAGCCACTGTGATGCATTTTTGTATAGAAAAATACATCATGACTTTTCTGATGACCAATAAATATTTATTTTAATTTTCTATAGGGCATGTGTGCTCACCAGGAGAGAGACAGAGAAAACAAGAGAGGGAGAGGAAAAGAGAGAAAAGCAAGCTGCCAGGTCTGGGACTTGAATCACAGTCAGCCATGTGGAAGAGTCCAGTGTCTCAACCACCACACCACAACCCCAGAAATAGGTTTTTTTAAATTCCTTGCTTTGCTATGATTTGGCTTCATACTTATGTAAAGAATTGACTTTTAAACATTTTTTTTCTTGAAGCAGTGGCTTCCTCCTTTCACATGAACTCTTCCATGAGATCCCCAAATACATGGCAGGCAGAATTCTGACATATATAATGAAAACAAAGGTGTGGCATACTTTGCTGCTTTTTATCTCTGCAGAAGAATCTTCCATTCTAACTCAGTCTGGAAACTAGTGTTTTAAGGGACATTTTATCCCTTATGGATGCTTATTTATGTATTTATTTTTTTAGAATTATTTATATTTTATTTTATTATCTAGCTAACTAACCAACCAACCAGACAGGGACAGAGTGAGGGAGAGAGGTAAAGTGAAAAAGCAAGCTGCCAGGTCCAGGACTCAAACTGCTGTTGGCTATGTGGGAGTCCAGCGCCCTTAACCACCACGCCACCTGCTAGCCCCCCTTACGGATGCTTATTATCTGCCCAAAATAAATACGGTATTTCACTACTGTACATCATGAATGAATGTATGACCGATAGTTACTTGTAACAATATATACAATCAGTTCCCACTATGTGTAGTATTTATGTCTATTAATTCAACAAAAACAATGACTTCGTGAATAGTAAACCACTGCTCCTAGGAGAAACACGGGGTTAGGATCTGCTGAGCCTCTGGGCACATTTTCTCAGCTGATCAAAATATAACCTTGTTTCATGTGTTAAACCAAAAAGCACTGACCTGGGAAGGCCCTAGTCCACATACACTTGAGTTCTGGTAAACAAACCACAACCTAGCTTCTGAGTCTGTTTCCTTGAGCAAGCAGCTGGGTCACAATCAGTCACTGTTAAACTGCATCCAGACAGAAAGCTGGCACGCTGGAGCCAACCCGGATGTCTCTCTGCTCAGTTCCCTTTCCTGTACTTCCTGTGCTCACCTTCCTTTTCCTGTCCGTGAGTGTTACTCACCACATGGTAGGGCTCTTTAGAACCAGTTTTAGAGGCAGCCTGATTTGTGAAACATTCTTTACCAGCAAAAAATCTACATCTGCTAAATTAGATTTGTCTAAAGCTTTTCTTCTAACAAAACGTGCCTTATTTAACATATACGTTGACTGAGTAGCACTGAACTCATAACCAACAGCGCTAGAGCTTATGTCTGAACCAAACTTTTTTTTTTTTTTTTTAAGAGAAATTTTTGCTATAGGGTGCATGTGCTCACCAGGGACAGAGAGACAGAAAGCAAGAAATCACCCCCACCCCGCCGCGGGGTGATGGCTATACCGCTATCCCTTCTCTTACATTTTCCTTCTGGGGTTTTGGGCATGCACACATATGTACCTGGTGTGAGTTATTAAGCCACCGGGTCCAGGACTCGAACCACAGTCGACTATGTGGGAGCCCTGCACTGTAAATATTACACCATCTGGTGCTTCCTGTATCAAGTGGTTTTTTCGTATGTTTATTTTATTTCCATTAGAAAACTACTATCTATCCAAATTTTGGTCCATATTCTCCTTTACTTCTACCATTCAAATTTAAATACTTCAGTTTTACTCAAGTAAAAGCCGAATTACGTAACTGACATAAAAATTAAATATTTCATGTCATTAAGTTAATAGGATTGGTGTGCTTTTGATTATTTCTCAGGAGCAACAAATTCTTCTTTCCTAGGTGTTACTGCCCTTTTATTTATCCGAGTAACTATGCAATGAGAGTCTCTTCCTCTATATTTAGCAATACGAGTGTATACAACTGATAACATCAGTAACTGGATTCATTATCTAATCTTTAGCTTATGTTCAACTGTCCCTATTATATGGTATGTCCATAATAACTTAGATATTCTAGTCAAACTTACACTTTCATCAACTGTAAAGATAAAGGAGGTTAAATTAAAGACATAGTAAAAATTCCAGACTAAACAACGGGGGCTCACTAGTCGTGCTGCTGTGAGAGGTCCTTGGGCAGTTACTGTTTCCATTTCACCTTGGCCTCCTTCGCTCTTACAAGAAAACTGCTCTTGAGACCCTTGTCTGTAGATTTCACTGCCAGTACCGAAGTCATGTATGTTGGCCGGCCTAATAGTTGTTTCTACATGTTGGTGAGGCATAGCCTGAAGCTCAGATCCACCCATGTTTGTAGCAGCTTGCTCAGCTACTGCTAGCCCTCCTGGCACGCACTGCCCACTTGAAGGGTTTGCGCCTGGCTGTCCTGAAATGTAAACAGTCCTGACCAACACGGCTTGACTGTAGAAACCAACGGCTCCTGGGGCTTTTGTGGTGCTTATAATTTTTCCAATCAAGGACAGCGTGGCTGATTCTCTCCTGTGGGCCCTGCAGGAGAAGAAGTACCTACACATCTCTGCAGACTGACCTGAATCAAGCTTATCCAACACATTTATTTTCTCTGTAATGCACATCACAGCCGCCTTCCGCTTAGAACTGCTAGACAGTACTTCAGCATTATGCTTGGGGCCATGTTAAACGGTGACATTACAGACTATCCATGATGGCATGTACTGTCTGCTGTGCTGGCAGAAACCCCAGGGAAGGCCCAGGTTCAATTTCCGGTCCAATCTAAAGGCAGGGTGTAGAGTCACATGCCTGCAATCCTAATGACCAAGGAGGCTGAGGCAGGAGGACTACCACATGGTGATCAAAGAAACAAACAGAACAGTGAGATCACTAATTAAAAAACATAAAAATGTGGCATCAAATAGACTATGAAAAGGACACTTGTTTAAAGAAAGTAATAGCTGGGAGCCAGCAGGTGGTGTGGTGGTTAAAGCGCTAAACTCCCACAAGTCCCAGACCCAGCAGCTTGCAAATCTTACTGGTTGTATGTTTGCCAGAAAGGAGAATAGAGGAGGAGGGACTGTGGCATGGCCATCCCCCTGAGGGGTGATTTCTCACTTTCCTCCCATCTATCTCCAGCTAGTGCATGCATGCACCCTATGGCAAAAACCTAATTAAAAAAAGGAAGTGAGATCTGAAACCAGAAGACAAAATGTCAATGCCTCGTTCACTTTCAGAAAGAGTATGCTTGGTGGGTGACTTGAATTTTCTGTGGCTCTGTGCATGGCTGTAAAGCACAGTGAAAATGTCACAAGCACTGATTTTTGGGGCTTACAAATACATTTTTGCAAGCAGGTCAATCTGTGAATACATAATCTATGAGTGAGGATAGACATACTGGCAGTTAAAAAACTTTCTAAATTAACCGCAGTAGTTTTTATACTAAAAAAAAAAAAATTAAAACTAAAAACTGTTAAAGACTTTTGCTGGCCAAAGGAAAGTAAATTAGGAGAAATTAGAGGACTGCTTTTGTTCTCTAGTGCTTGTGTAGTAGCATATTTTAAAGGGACATTATAAGTAAGTTGGATGACAGGTTTAGGACAAATTTTTCATATTTAAAAACATGACAGGACAACTCTAAAAGTACTAAAAACTACTGAGTTGAATACATTAACTAAGTGAATTTCATGGTATGTAATCTATATCTAAATAAAGCCGTTGAAAAATGACAGGAAAGGGAACTCTGTATTTATTTTTTCTAATTAAAATTTTAAAATTTGGGGCCAACAGATGGCATGGTGGTTAAGGTGCTGGACTCCCACATGGCCAATTGCAGTTTGAGTCCTGGACCTGATGGCGTGCTTTCTCACTCTCCCTCTTCTCTGTCTCTCTCTGGCCCAACTGAATAATAATAATAAATTAAATTAAATTAAATTAAAATTATTTAAAAAATTATTTTTCAATTTGAAACCCAACATACAAAGAAGAACACAACATCTTATGGGGAAGCGGAAAGTCTACCATCCCTTGTACAATACTTCCCTTGTTTCTACAGTGACACCAGTTGGAGGTTCTTCAGAAGTATATTTCTCTTCTACCTTCTATAACATTTAAAATAAACAAATATGCTTTATTTTATCTTTTTGTTCTGGGGCTTATGGACATGCCAGAAGAGATGGCAGGGGGGTGGCGGTGGAGACAGATGGTGGGTAGTGGAAAAGTATCCCCCCAGAGAAATGGCCATACCATAATCCCTTCTCTTCCATTCTCCTGAGATCTTGGGCTTGTACACTACATGTGCTTGGTGTGTTTTTCATGTCACTGAGTTTGGAACTCAAACTGAATGCACAGTTGGCCATGTGGGATCCAGCTGCCTTAACCATCACACCATTGGCTGGCCCCAAATATGCTTATTTTTTAATTCATATTTTCTTGAGATAAAATTCACAAAACATAAAATTTACCATTTTAACCATTTTAATATTAGAATTCAATGGCTTTCAGTACATTCATATTGCTTTGTTTGTTTTGTTTATAAGCCAGAGGGCATTTATGATCACTAGAGTCAGAGACAGAGAGAGACATGGAGAGAGAGAGAAAGCAGCTCTCAGTGGGATGTGGTCATCCCTTCTTTATTTCTCCATTTTGTTGGGATTTGGGGCATGCATATACATGTGCCTGCCATGTTTTTGAAGCTGCCAGGGTCAAGATCTGAACTATGTGGTCAGCCATGTGGAACCAATAGACCAGAGACTAGCCCACATTCATGCTGTTGTACAATCATCAATACCATCTAATTCTAGAATATTTTCCTTTTTTTTTCTTTAAGAGAGATTTTTGCTACAGGGTGCAAAGAAAGCAAGAAATCACCCACAGCAAAGATAGTCACCTGCAATCCCTTCTCCTCCATTTTCTTCTCAGGACTTTGGGCATGCACACACATGCCCAGTGTGTTTGAAGCCACCGGGTATGGGACTTTAACCATGGTTAACTACGTGGGGGTCCAACAAAGTAATCATCACATCATCTGCTGGTCCCTAACTCCAGAATATTTTTATCAGCAATATACTTACATAATACCTCCATCGTTTTTGAAATTTTTCTTTCTTTTTCAAAAATTACTTCTTTATTTAGTTTTACTTATAATTATCTTTTATTATTATTTTTTTTAATTTGATCAAAGAGATTGAGAGCAAGAAAAGGGGAAAGTGAGAAAGCAAACCGCCAGGTCCGGACTCAAACTGTGGTCGGCCACGTGGGAGTCTAGTACCTTAACCACCATGCCACCTGCCAGCCCCGAAATTTTTAATTCTAATACTTCCAGAAATCAATCAATATATATAATTAAGCATACAGAAAAACAACAATAATAAAGTAAACTTTTAAAGTCACAAAATAAAGTTTCCCAATGTATTTACTTTTAAAAACTACCTTTTCCATTAAAGTATTTGACCAATTATAAAACTTGGTCTCCACCAGGCAATAATGTCTGTTTTCAAGACAGAGGTGCAGCATGCATTTTAGTAAGCTTAGGGAATATAGGAACCCCTAAAAACTTCTGCAAGTTAATGAGCACAAGCTAATTTTCTGAGCTTACCTCTGTCTGCTATTCTTTTCATCAACTGGTGCTCTCCCCATTTGACCAGATATTTAAGGATATCTTGTTCACTTGCCTATAATAAAAAATGGTTTATGTTTATTTCAGTGAAATCTGATAAATGGTTCATTGCATTAATGACTTATCCTAGGTCATAATGTAAATGTATCATGCAATTTATTTTATTTCACTCTTTATACTGGCTATTGGAAATTTTAGAATTTAATCTGTGGTCCACCAACAGCAAATATGTAAGACTAGATTACATGTATTTTATCTAGGAACTTCATTTTGGCTCCAATTAAATCTTTTCTTTTTTTTGGAGAGAAAGATTTTTGCTATAGTTAGTGTAACCTTACCAGAGAGAGAAAATGTGAGAAACCACCCCCTAAAGGGATGACCACTCCCTGAGGGGATGGCCACCCCACAGTCCCTTCTCCATTCTCCTCTCCAGATCTTGGGCTCACACGCACATGCATCTGGTGTTAGTTTTAAGCCCCTCGGTCCGGGACTCAAATCGCAGTCTACTACATGGGAGTCGGGCAACGTAACCATTATGCCATCTGCTAGTGGTCCCTTCGATAAAATCTTTTATACTTTTTTTTTCCATAGAGCATCTGTGCTTGTCGGACAGAGAGGGAAAGGAGAGAAATCACTCCCTAGGGGGATGGCTACATTGCAATCCCTTCTCCATTCTTCTCTTAGGATCCTGGCTACACATGCACAAGGTATAATTTTCAAGCTGTTTAGTCTGAGACTTGAACTGTGGTCAGTCATATGGGAATCCAGTGTCTTACCACTCCACCTGCTGGTCTGTTTTATTCTAATTTCTAGCATTTTTTCTTTACCCTGTTTTCTTCCTATATTAAATTTGGTTTATCTTACTATATGGTTTCTACACAGCTGCCATAAACTCTTATGGGGCTAGAGTGACTATCATCTCTGTCACGAACAGGAAAAACAATCATGACTTTGGCAGAAGATACTACAATCTCTGCAAGGTGTTTTACAGATTGGTGAAAGACCCTTGAAACACAAATTGTGATATGGCAATCCCCTTCCTTTCTTTGTAGTTTATTTAAAATCTTAAGAAAACATCTAGGCTGCTCTCCAAGTTTTTACTTTCTAAGCAGGAGTGTAAAGCTCCTAAAGACGATCATCTGAGAGAACTGACAAGCCCCTAACTCCTATAAATATAAAGCTTCCAGTCTGGATCAGGACAGTGAGACGGGGTTAAAAAGAGACAAGATCCTCCATAAATCAAGCCCAAGAATGGCAACGTTTGTACTGCAATCAAAGCAATACGCCAAGGAAAAGCATAGAGACTGAAATTATTTAACTCCTGACTGCATTTCTGGTGGAGATGGAAACATTTTATTAAGGTAATTTTTCTTCTAGAACAAATATAAAGAAACAAGAAGTGGTTAAATGGTTTATGTCTTCACAGCTTTAAAACTTTTGTAGTTTTTAGCATACAATTCATATAGGCAATGCAAAATAAATTAAAATTAAAACATATTTTACCTGAGAGCTTTTTTTTTTAACAGTATTTCAGATCTATTAGTTTAATTTAGCAAATTAGATTAACATACAAGTCAAGAATACAGAATTTACTAAAAAATACTTCTGGTTAAAAATAGGTCATGGAAAACATGTTTTGACAGAATCCATGCACAGAAATTGAATGGTATTTTAACTCTGTGCTGTTTAAGCAATTGCTACTCCATTCAGAGTAAGAAACCGTTACAGCCAATCTATATTACTGGAAGCCAAGAAAATCACTGCTGGGATGTCCTTCTAGCTTGCATACTGCCTCAGCCTCTTTCATGGTGTGGCTGGTTGGAATCTGGCTGTTCATATGTGGAGTTACAGTAGCCGTGAGCCTGAAGGGCTAGTGAGCCAGCAGGCTCTGGGCCATACAAATATGAAGAGGGCACTCCTGGGTGTTTTGATGACAGCCTGTTTCCTCTCCCCCTGCTCTACCCAAGGTGGAAGAGTGATAGAGCACAGATGGGTTTCCTGGTGCACACGTGAATGACAATGAATTTGAGAGGTGTATAAATGATTACCTGTAGGTAGTCAGACTGGATAGCAGTAAGCAGATGATCTTTGCTGAGTTCATAAAAAACATCCGAAGTCATGACCTGGGAAAATTCCTCACAGAGGAAATGTAAAGCTTGTCGGTGCACCCATTTAGAGCCATATGGATGAGAGCTCCACTTGAGGATGGCAATTAGGGTATCTAATGAGATGCTCTCAGCAATGATATCCTCACAGCCTAAAAGAGAAGGCAAATACTTCTTGAGATTAATCATAAATATTACTTAATGAACATTAGTGTGCTAGTCACTATACTTAAAAGTAGCAGCAGTAAAAAAGAACTCAAGGATATAAATAAAATCTGCTGGAAAGCACCAAGCCTTGGTGGGATGGGGTACAATATCCTATGACATCTACAGGAAATCTATAGAATCTACAGAAAAAGACAAAGAAGAGAATAAACATTTATGTACAAATTCAACAATCTAAATGAGACCACAGAGTGGAAAGCACTGAGCCTAAGGGGAAAGAAAAGCAGGTAAGAATGAAGCAGCAGCAGGAACTGGCCAGAAGAAGGGTATGGATGACGAGACAGTCGTACTGAGAAGACAGGTAGGATGCTAACCATGAAGACATTTCTTCTTTGTATGAAAGCTCTATACTTATCTGGACTTAATTCTGGCAAACTTAAAAAGAAGTGGCTTAAATGAAAAGAACTAGAATTGTTCAGAAATTATGGCATTTTAAGAACTCAAAGAGAAATAGAAAATCTGAGAGAGAACAGTCAACTCTTCTTAGAGAAGAGCTTTCTTCTTTCCCTTACCAGAGCGCATGCATTTGTTGGAGAGAGACAGACGGTAACAAAGGAAGAGGAAGTGGGAGAAAGCATGTCCTATCCAGGTACAGTCTTGCTATCAATATATTCCCTTCTCCATTTCTTCAACCTGTTGGGATTTTGGACATGCATGCACAAGTGCCCAGCTGCCAGGGCTGGGATTTTGGTCAGCCACGTAAGACTTGGCTCCCTTAGCCATCAGGCCTCAGGGACAATCCATTAGGGAAGATCATTTTAAAATATAAAAATGTAAGTGAAGAGACCAATAGATGGTGAAATGGTTACATTGCTAGACTCCCACATGGCTGACTTTGAGTGGTTTGAGTCCTGGATCCTGAGGCTTGAAACTCGTGTCACGTACATGTGCATGTGTGCCCAAAATCAAGAGAATGGAGAAGAAGGGATTGCAGTGTGGCCTTCCCTCCGGGGGATGATTTCTCACTTTTTGTCTCTCTCTCTCTGGTGAGCACACACACCCTATAACAAAAATCTTAATGGGAAAGGTCCGGGGTTCATATCCCAGGACCTCTCTGAGTACACTGGGCATGTGCCTGTGATCCAGGCTAGCTGAGACAGGGGGAGTGTATCTCCAGGGAAAGACTCTATTGGGAGTGCTTGTATCTTTCATGGAAGAAATAAACTTTTAAATAACTTCATAATGTGGAAAAGAAGAGAAATATTTAAACAATACCACCACCACCACAAAAATATGGCTATAAAGATTGCTCTCTAATGAGCTCAGAGCTTTAAAAGATATAGCCAAAATAAAGGGCATCACTTAACTCCAAGAGGTGTGAAACCATGAACGGTAAAGAGAGAAAGGACAGATCCATGTTCAGGTGCTATAAGATCATTAGGAGCCAATATGGAGTCTGTAAGATGTAATTCCTCGTTCTCTTTTCTGATACGGTAGCAGAGGAAGAAACACAGCATAAATGGCTGTGTTACTTTGATTTCCATAAAGCAGTTGACAAGTTACATGATGGTGCTAAGTCTTTAAATGTACCTCTTGCACCTTCTTGTACATGGCAAACTCTAAATAAAACCTACTGAAGTGTACTGATGAGATTTGTGCAGAGAAGATGAAGTGAGAAGATGGTGACAGAACAGGGGTTAGCAGAGCCATTCAAAAGCAGCAATGAGAGAGGGAGTGGGGAGTCTCTGATTTGCTATGTTTATCAAGAATTTGGATGACGATGTGGAAAATATGCATCATAATCTCCAGATGACATAAAATTGGAAAAGAGAGTTAACATACTGCATAGCACAATCACAATTGGCTAAAAAGATCAGCCAAAATGAAGCTGAAATATAACTCTGAAAATTTAAGTTCTACACTTAGATTAGAGAAAATCAACTGTTCAGTATGTGATGGGAGAGCTGGCTTAACTACCATTTATGTAAAATAATACCTGGGTATCTCAACGAAATGAATGCAAAATGTGACCTGGCTGCTCACGGAGCTGAAGCAACCTCAGGCTTTTTGTGTGTGTGTGTGTGTGTGTGTGTGTGTGTGTAGAGGTTTTTGCCAGTAAGACAGAGACAGAGATAGAAACTGAGAAATCACCCCCTGGGGGGGATGGCCACACCACAATCCCTTCTCCTCCATTCTCCTCTTGGAATCTTGGGCACACACACACATGCACCTGGTGTGAGTTTAAGCCACTGGGTCTGGGACCTGAACCGCAGTCAACTACATGGGAGTCCAGCGACATAGCCACCAACTGCTGGTCCCCTTTTTTTATTTTTAAGAGAGATTTTTGCTAAATGGAGCTTATGCTTGCTAGAGAGATAGAGACAGAAAGTGAGAAATCACCCACTAGCAGGGATGATCATGCTGCTATCCCTTCTCCTCCATTCTCCTCTCGGGATCTGGGCATGCATGCACATGCTCCCAGCGTGAGTTTTAAGCCACCAAATTCAGGACTTGAACCGTGGGTGACTACGTGGGAGTTCAGCAACATAACCATTACACCATCTGCTGGTCCTGCAATCTCAGGCTTTCAAGGTTCAAGCACCGAGTCCTAACGAGAGACTAATATACGAGGGACTATATGGGGGCTGCGTTGTTCTTACCCTCATGTTTTAGATGGGCCACTGACCAAACTGCAGGATTCTAGAAGGCAGCAAGAAAATGGCAGAGAGTTTGAAACGTGTTAAAGGAGATTATTTGGCTTATGTAAGAGAAAGCTAAAGAAAGATGTCATAGATGTCTTTAAATGTCTGCTGGGCCGTAAGGTAAGAGAAGCGACAACTGAGTTCTTTGTTGTTCCAAGGACACACCCTGGTAAACACTGGGTGGTAGTGCAGTGGTGACACACAAAGCTGCAAGCTAGTTCAGAAAGCTTGAGCGGCCAGAGTGACCAGAGAGCTCGCTGCATACACCGAACAGCCACTTGCTCGGGATCAGGGCTGATGAGGCTGGAGCTGAATTGCAGTGTTGGGATCCTGTTAAGGGTGTTTTTTTTCTCTCTAGCTTGCTCATGAAAGAAATAAACATAAAAGGTGGGGAGGAAGATTTTTGACTCAATAAGTAATTGCTAACGAGCAGAATTTCTTCCCATCTCAAAACAAGGATTCCCCCTAGAAAAGCATTTCAGAAAGAGAGGCTGTATCATCACATTAGGGGTGGAGTTCAAAGAACCCTTACACTGGGCAGGCCACTAGGATCAGAAGACATCAAAACTGCCTCTTTTTTTAAATTTAACCATCGGGTGCATGTACTTGCTAGAGACTGACTAACAGAGAGGTAAAGTGAGAAATCACCCCCCAGGAGGGATGGCCATGAGCTCAATCCCTTCTCCTCCACTCTCTTCTTGGGATTTTGTACAAGCACACACACGGGCCTGGTGTTCTTCAGGCCACGAGGTTTGGTACTCAGACCTGCAGAATTGGCTATGTGGGATCCAGTGCCTTAACCACCACACCAGCTGTTGGCCCCCAAAACTGCCTTTTTTTTTTTTTTTTAAATCAATATTGACAACTCTCTTTTAAAAAATAATTATTTAATTTATTACTGTTTTTGCTTTGTTTTGTTTTAAATTTGACCAGACACACACACACACACACAGACACAGAGAGAGAGAGACAGAGAGAGAGCAAGCCACCAGGTCCAGGACTTGAACAGTGGTTGGCCATGTGGGAGTCCAGCGTCTCAACCATCACACCACCTGCAAGGCCCACCGAAACTGCTTTCAACCCAAAGATAAAATAAAAACCATTTTAAGAAAAACATTAATCGCATAAACAGAATTTTGTTAAAATGACATCCTTACAGAAACACTGAGACTACAACAAGATCCACAGATAAATGACACTTGGAGGCATGAAGACATGCTGATGACAAGTGGTAGCCTTGCTTATTCTATGGTGAGCCTTGAATGCCAAGCTGAAGACAGACCCCAGCCATCAGCCAGTAGGGGACTGCTGTGAGTCTGCTCTCTTACAGAAGGCACTGGAGCGGGACCGAGTAGGGTGAGTACATCTGACAGGCAAGGTGGTGTCACAGATGTGTTTGGGAATGAAGCAGGGGAAATGAGAGAAAAGGGGTTACTTAAACGGGTGTGTTACAATCCTACGGAACCAGGATTTTGGCACAGATAAACAGAATGAAAGATAACATGATCATATATTTAAACTTCTGAGGTTTAAAGAAAGATATGGCAGAAAAAAATGGTCCTTAAAATCAGACAGATTGGACTTCAAATCCCAGCTCTGCCACTTGTCAGAAAAGTCACTTTAGGCAAAGCACTTAACTCTTTGAGCTTGAAATTTTCTCAACTGGAAAACTGGCTGCATTTCCTAATTCCCAAGGTTGTTGTAAGACTGGAATGAGACTGCACTCGCGGTACTCTGCGTTTGTTTTAACATTTGGGAGTGACTACGTGCTGTGTGCTATGAACACACAGCTTTTTTACTGCCTGCTTTTTCTTTCTTTTTTTTTTTCTTTTTTTTTTTTTTTTTTAAGAGGTTTTTGCTATAGGATACGTGCACTCACCAGAAAGACAGAGAGAGACAGAGAGATAGAAAGCAGGAAATCATCCCCCAAAGGGGATGGCCACGCCACAATCCCTTCTCCATTTCTTCTCAGGATCTTGGGTGCGCACACACACACATGCGTGAGTTTAAGCCACCAGGTCCAGGACTCGAACCGCAGTCGACTACATGGGAGTCCAGCAATATAGCCATTACACTAACTGCTGGTCCCACACCACCTACAATTCTGAGGCTGACAGCTCCACCCAGAGCTCAGCTCCCAGAGACACTCCTTACTTTCACTGGACAGCTCCGTGTGCATGCTGCATAGACATCTTAAATGCAAAAGTCAATTGATCCCCTCTCCTCTGGGAAAGCTAACCTTCCCTTTCTTAACCCATTTTGGAGAAGAATATCATAATTATCCA